CCCCAAAACCCCAAAACCCCAAAACCCCAAAACCCCAAAACCCCTAAAATTTCAATTTAATTGAAAATATCAACTATTATTGAAAAATGGTACCTCCAAGAGAAGAAGCTCTAGCCTTCTTGGTCTCTCTGCTTGTTGACAGTCGATTTATGGGAGGTAGCTTTCCTCCACCTTTACTCACAATTGGAGAATACTGATAAGTAAAGTAGCTTTTAATAAAGTCTTTACTTTCTTTGAAATTTGAATTATTCTAAAATACAATGAGAAATGTGAGTGTCGTTAAACATACCTGGCTCCCATTCAATTGCTTCATAATTTTGCTGCTTAAGGTAGGGCTCTGTTTTGGGCTACAATCTACCCTATTTTACATTAATCATACTGCTGCTATAAAAATTAGTGTTGAGATTACTGTAGTTGGTCAAACCTAAAAAGTTATATAGAACATTACAATTGCTTCTTCATGACTCTATGAGCTTTGAGCTTATCGTCAGAATCCTGCATCAACCATTTATCTATTATTTAAATTTGTTCATACCTGTAATATCCTTGAGGTGGCTCCGATGTTCGGGATTAACTTGAAGCATTTTCATTATCAACCTCTTTGGACCAATGTTAATTCGTTCAGGAATTATATAATTCCCTTTGATTATTTTAGAAAACATATCCTTATTGCTTGCTCCTTTAAAAGGGAAAAATCCAGTCATAAGAGCATAGAAAACAACCCCTAGAGCCCATACATCAGCTAGCTCGTAATCAAACAATTGCTTATTTTATCAGCTCTGGAGCCATATAATTTGGTGTTCCACAGTAGGTACTTCCTTTCTCCCCATTTTGATACTGTCTGGCAAAGCCAAAATCAATTATCTTGACAAGAGGAGCTTCAAATACAGTTTTAAGCTTGTTCTCTTGCTTAGTTACTAAGATATTTTCAAGCTTAATATCCCGGTGAGCAAAGCCTTTAGAGTGGCAGAAAGTTATCCCATTGAGAATTTGCTTAAAAATCTCTCGGCTAAGTTCTAAATTACACCTCTTGGTAGGCTTCCGCTTCATGTAAGTCAGAAGGCTCTCTCCTGCAATGTACTCAGTCACGAGGTAAATACAGTGGCTGTCTTCGAAAAAGTCATAAAGCCTGATGATATTTTGATGTTTAAGACTACACAAAGTTACACAAAGACCTTACCTTTTCAGTGCGTTAACCTCTTGATCGAGGCTGCCAATCTTTTGCTTATTTACTGACCACTGCTTTCTCATAGATCTTTATGGCAACCTTATTTACATTCAGAATTGCTTTCTGAGGGAAGAATGTTCCTGTGACCTAATTTTACAACACCGTAGGACCCTTTCCCAATGATTATCTCCGAAATTGTGTAAAAGTCAGTGATTTTTCCCTTGCTACAGTGTCTATAGGTAATTAGTTTAACTTTTTGAAAGTTACATACCTTTGTAGCATGCAGTTTGCACCAGAACTACTCTCTGATATTCTACTAGAAGCTTGGTTTACTCTCAGTTCTGTTAAGGATTTATCCTTTTGAGAGGGTATCTTATCGTCAGACTTTTCATCTAAGCACCCTAAGTTGCTAGGACCAATCTGGCTATTCTCAAGTGTATGATATCCAAAATCTAAAAATAAACCCACCCAATACAGTTATGATCGGAAATTTTAGGTGTTATTCCGAGTAAACTCTGCAATCCTCATCGATCTTTTCTCTGGAGATTCCTTAAATTAATTACAAACTTTACCTTAGAGTATGAGCTCTGATCTATGGGTCCCTTAAACTGGTCTTCTCTGATTTGAATATACTCATTTTCAAGTCCTATTTGATCAATCCTGTAACTTTTTGGGATAATAGCTTTCTGAGAATCGAAGACATGTACTTTGTTCTTATCTAAACTTCACATATTTATTTTACTGTCCTTAGATTTGATAGACCTGCTCCCCTTCCGAATAAAATTATGATTGTGATTGCTCAATCAATGAAGCCTAGTTTTAAGATTATTAGTAAAGTACTGAGGGATCTTCTTAACAACATTCCCATACTTCTTTGGTATCTCTTGAGCGATCTGGCTGAGAGTCCCAACATGCTTCTTCATTGACAAATTTTTCCATTGTTTGTTGATAAGGGATTCTCCTTCGGAATCATCTAGGTTTGAAAATTTTCTAGAAATTGATACATGTCAATACCTTTCTCTAGAGTTAAAACTACCCATGTTCAGGCTTTCCTTGGAATCGTTTGCAAGGTGCTTGTTAGCACTGGCTCCTATATTCTTTAAAGAGTGATATAAAGAAGTACTTGAGCCTTAGTCCCAAATCCTTTGATAAATTTCCCATCCTATGATAGATTTAGAGAGGTTATCAGATTTTCTCACCTTAGTCTTCCGATAAATCTCGACAGGCTGTTTAAAATCAGAATTATTGATCGAGCTAGAGAGGTCTATCCTCGTATTCTCCAATTTCTTGCTCATGCTCTTCTTTATGTACTGATTTAGGTTCTCATAGTTGGTATTACGGCCCATAACAGATTTAATGTAGCCAGCGTTTGTTTTTCCTCTTATATTCTTGTCAAAATTCATTTTTGAGAAGGAAGTTTCTGGGTTATTCAATCTCTTGCTATATCGAGAGTTTTGTGCCATTGCTGAATTTCTCTCATATTGGTAAGAATCCTGAACTAATTACACAGGGATTATACCTCTTTAGTATTGTCCTGACTTGAATGAATCTTAAGAGAGCTGCAAACTGTGAAGAGTTAAACCAAGGAGAACTTACCTATAACTGATTAGAATCAAATGGCTTCCTTGCAACTTCATTGGAGCAATCAGGACCAAGCTTAATTCAATCTTTAGAAATATACGGAGATTTAGGCTTCTTAATCTCCGTCATTGCCTCTTTGGAATGCATTGTGGAGATGCCTAAATTATTATCAAAACAAATTCTGAGATTTTTCAAGATATAACAGGAGCTTCATAAATTACTTCTTCCTAAACCTTAGCTGGACAGCCTAGGGCACCCGACTTTTCTCCACTGTATACTAACAAATTGATAAACACAAGACTCCAAGCTTACTCGAATGTAAAATTTTCATCTGAGAATACATAATCGATTGTTAATATTATATAAAGAATAATTTGTTAAAATTCAACAGCGTTTTGACTTTATGGGGTTTTGGGGTTTTGGGGTTTTGGGGTTTTGGGG